ATGGAGGCCTGGTTCTCAAGTTACATTAAGTCCACTGGAAATCTAGAGATCCCTGGGGTGTCCTCTGATGGAGCCCGATGGTCTGGGCCTTGGCCCATTGAACACAATCTTTACCAATAATAGGTGTGTCCCCGTGGGGTTTAAGGATCTCTAGCTGTCAGTCCATTTAGAGGGTCCTCAAGACCCTGAAATGGTAGGTACAACTTTACAGGTATAGCTGCTTTTCTAAAGGGAAAGCTCATAGCCCTTATCAGAGTCCTCAAATGATTTTTGCCCTGGAAACCCCTGACTTGGAGGAAGGCCTAAGACCGGCTTGGAGATAAGGTGACCGGGAGATAAGCCCGTGTTGGGTCTGACTGAGGGCCTGAAGGTCTGCCCTTGACCAAGAGTGTTCAGCCCAAGCCCAGATGAAACTCTTCCTTCCTTTATCTGGTTATTATTTCTGTTGCTTTTTGTTCAGTCCCAATGATATTTGCTCCTTTATAGAATGGGGAGGACCTGGCTTATGAAAATTACCTTTGGACTGTAGCTAACCTGGGTTTGCTCTGATTCATACCTGAAAATCGGAGATGCTGTGCGGGTGGTCAACAGGGGCAACTGAGCCCGCGCGTGCTGCAACTACTGAGCCCTCGAGCCACCTCCTCACTCTCTGGGAGTTTCACTGCCCGGTCCAGGCACACCCCCAGCCTGCACACCCCACGGCCCCGTCCCCTCCGATGTGTCAGCAACAGATACCACGTACAGGTGAACCAATCCACTGTCTGCCTGCCGACCCAGCAATTGAGGACCAGCTCAAAAGGGTCAGTGGGGCCCAACCCACTTCTAAGAGCAGGGAGCTGAGAAAGTCAAAAGTGGCCCAGGGGCACGTCCTGCACAGGACGTGCTGGCTGGTGGGCATTCCTAGGCCAGGTGCACACTGGCTGAGCAGCAGAGGCCGGGTGACAGGGGAACATGCAATTCGATTCTTGAAGAGCAGTTTCACTTCTCAAATCCCGGTTCCCAGGTCTTCTGTGATCTGGGGGCTTGATCTCTGGATCTTTGCAACAATCCTCCCACTTTTTCTCTTGAGCAAGTTTTGAGTGCATATTCGATTCCTTTTTATCTCTGAGAACCTTCTGAGACTGGCTCCATCTTTACAGATGAGGAAACCGAGGACAAGGAAATTAGTTTATGCAGAATGCTTATGTGCTCCTAATTGAAATTTGTCTCTGCTTGGAAAAGACCAATGCGATAAGCTCTCTGCATAGACATTTTTCTGACCCAAGAATGAAATACAGTCACTCAGTCCTTCCTAAATTGCAGCCAGCCCAGTCAACTTTAAATAATGAACAAAAGGGGAAAACTCCAGCCAGAGATAGGGAAACTGGGGTTTTCTGATTAGATTGGGAAGTTCTTTGTAGTCTAAGCAGGTTTCATCGAGAGACTGGAAGGCTCTGGGAATAAACAACAGTGGAATCTTTCTTTGACTCACCTCTTTTATCTCCAGAGCCTCAAGTATGTTAAAAATGTCTCAGCGGTCCTAATGGCACGCCTGCTTTTAAGAAGGGTGAAGAGGCAGACTGGTGATGAGATTAAAACACAAGACCTGCAAGGATGCAGACACCGTTTCTGGGGGAGCGCGTGGGTTTCTCACCCACCCGCATTCTCCAGGCTTCACTCCGTGGCACCTGACCTCACAGTCAACCGCAGCCTTTATTTAATGAGGCAGCACTTACGTGAGGCTTATTCATACAGAGGTTTTGAAAGAGGCTGAACACAGCCTTACATCCAGGCGATGCGTGGCTGGGTCCCCATCCCCGCAGTGGATCACCTGCCGACCACTGTGATGTCAGACCTCACCTCCAGAGGGGCCCTGCAAGCCTGGGATGCCAGCCTTGGTTGCTCTGTCCTGAGGACACCTGAAAGCCAGGATCTCCCTTACATACAGACTGGCCCCCGATTCAAACCTCAAAAGTAAACCAGTTAGTGGTGGCCAGGGCATGGGGACAGGGGGCAATGGTAGTAGTTACTTAATGGGGAGGGCGGTCTTCTTCTGGGGTGATGAAAATGTTTTGAGACCAGAGACAGGTGGTGGTCCTACAACACTGTGAGTGCGCTAAATGGCAACCAACCTGTACCCTTTTAAATGGCCGACTGAATGCTGTGTGAATTTCAGATCGAAAAAACAAGACAAACTCACGCAATCAGAAACTGCGGAGATCCCGGGTCTGAAAAGTAACCCCTGCAGAGCAAGAATTTGTCAGTGACTGTACATGTGGTCCAGACGGTGCCCGGCCAGAGTCCCCTGACAGGAAGCGTGGACAAGTCCAGGCAGCTGGACAGCACCAGCCTTTGAGATCAGCCAGCTTACTTCCTAACTGTATCCTGTTCGAAGGAAATGTACCGTTCTAAGAGAAAAACTTTAATTCCATCTGTTTATTTTTACTCTAAAAATTACCTACGTGGCTCACGTTTCTGACTCACAGTTGACAGCTACCGGCCGGAGTGGGACTCGGGGATACTGGCCCACGTAGCTCATGTGTCCTCCCAACAAGGAAGTATGGCTTGGGGCACACACACAGGCTTATTAATAACTCTCTGAACTTGAACTTGAATGAGGCACTCTCTGAGCCTCACTTCTTGTCTGTAAAATGGGCAGGACATATGGAGTGTTCCTGGGCTGGAGGAGATACGACAGAGGAGGGTGAGCGGAGGCTGGAGCTCCCGCTTCCACGGCCACTGGCAGGATCACGGGAACCAGCCTTGACCTCCGTCTCCCCACAGAGCTCCTCCTTGGCTGGCACCCCCCCCCCCCCCGCCACCGCGCAAGGAGCTGTCGGGCCAAGCTGTTACTTGCCGGTTACACTGGTCCTTCACAGGGGTCTTAAAGTGAAGGGAACTGGAGCCAGGCATCTTTCCTGCTCCCTCACCTGGTCCATCACCTTGAATAGCAGCTTCCACCGGCCCTTCAATAAACTATTCCTGACAGTGATAACAGAGGGGGAATTACATTCAAATCACAAAATTAGGCACCAGCAAAACCCTGGGAAGCTCTGCCTCACAATGAACTTGAGATAAATCAGATCTTGAATGTTAAGAAGCAAAGAGGAAACACTGCATTTATGTTTCTGGAGGAAAAAAAGCCACACAAATTGGCCAGATGTCAAGATCCCATTTTGGTCACAGCCAGCGGGTGGTCTCTTTAAACGCTGGGAGACACAGGCCCACTCCCCTAAATTCCGCACAGGGCCCATCTGTCATCTCCAAGGCAAGCAGAGGTGATCCTCCAGCCTCCCAGGAACCCCTAAGGACAAGATGAGAACAGCCGGCACTGCTTCAGCTCATCTTGAGATGGAAGGCTGTCCATCTCAACCTCCTGTTTCCTCTTCCCAGAGGTCCTGCTGCCCCGGGTACCCTGGCTCAGGGCCGGAAAAAGCAAACCACATACATGACACCCAGGGGAGTGCCAGAGCCAGAGAGGGGTCCCAGGTGGGGCCCCACTGACCTCCTTTTCTGCTTTGCTCAGGAGGGGGTCTGCACCAGACCCCCAATGCAAACGCAGAGGTGGGATCCTGTGGGGGTCAGGCAGGGAGCCCTGCCGCACCACCGCTGGCATCTATCACGTTTATCTACAGAAAAGAACCCAGCTGCATACTTGCTTGCTGGACTTCAGAAACCCCAGCGTTCAGGCCCATGCCAGTCCGAAAGAATGTGAGGAATGTGGATGCCTTTCACTGGGTTTCACTGCAACCCAAACAGACCACAGCCTCCCGGGCTTGCTGATGGCTGCTTCCTGGGCAGAAATATTTTAAGTCCCTAAGACCTCCGCGGGGTGAGGATTAGCCCTGGGACAAGAACACTCCTGAATTCCTCACTCACCGTTAAAAGTCCCCCGGGTCATAACCTGCAAATGTCCCCAAACATTCTTTCGGTCCTAGAGCACAGGCTGATACTGGAAAACAAAGAAATGTGATATAAAAGGTGGGGAGGGAAGAAAGTTGAACCAAAGCCAATCATCTTCCCCCAGGTGAACAGAAGGCGCCCAGGACGTAAAGAATAACCTTCACTAATTCAAGCACTTTATTTGGAACGGCTTTTATTATTCAGACCTGACCCTGAAAGGAAGCAGCCTCTGAGCTGTTCCGTCTCAACTCCCCTCTTCACCCCGGGTCTGCAAATGACCCCGTTAATTTACACCCACTCCTTTCACCTGGAGAGGAAAGTCTCATTTTTTTTTAAACTCATGAAGTCTGCACTGTATCATGTAGATGATCTTACTCAACTGATTTCACAGAAGACGGCTTTTCCTACTAGTATTGCCAGCCGCAGGAATAAAGACCAAAAACGGCCGAGAGTGTATCCGCGAACGTTCTACCCGGCCACCCTTTACGCTCCCTTCTGCTGGGAGTTGCCGGATGCCTCCCATTCTTACTCCTGAACACGGGCTAATGCTTCCTGTTAACATTTTCTGCCATCGCACTCCTTCCCAGGACTAACCTCTCCCAGACCCACACAGCCAAACGCGTCGCACCTCGTCACTGGTGGCCATTGTTCGGGAAACTCAGAACCTCTTAGCTTTTAAGAATAACTCCTTTGTGTAAACACACAGGACAGCCGACCTGGGCTCCTCCGTCCCCAGGCTGTTCCGGGAGGAGGACAAGCTGCCCGGCTGGTTTCTGGGGAGAGCGAGAACGTTCCACCGGTGGCCACAGAGAGGAACGTCGCGGAGGTAAACAGAAACCAGGGGCTGTTCTGGGAACTCGCCGGTGCCAGGCACACCGGCGACATCTGACCTTCCCACGTGGGGACACGGACAGCTGACGAGGATGTGAAGACAGGGCTGCAGAGCTGGGAAGGGCCGAGAAGGGTCATGGGGAAGCGACCCCTCCCTCCCGAGGCTCTGTGGGCACACGGGGCCCATCTCCCAACACGGGTCTGTGCCTCTCGGTCACGACACAACCGCCTCCATGCGGCAGGCCCCGGTCCGGCCGCTTCTCAGATGCCTTGTCTGCAGCACTCACCTGCAACCGGGCCCAGCGACGTCAGAGGACCAGTCCCACGGCCCGGCCTTCTGTCCAGAGGAGGAAGATGCTACCAGACAAAAGGGGAAACGTGACTAAGATTTAGAGTCTCGTTCAGCTGAAGAACTCATTTCCACCTCTTCCCTCCAAGACTCTTCCACACCAAGAGCAGATTATGTTCTAAACTGCATTTATCGGGAAGGTGAGGACGGCGGTGGATGGCTGGGATGGGGCACCGGGACCCCTTTGCACCCCGGCTGCTGCGAGCGTGGCCGGCTTCCCAGAACTGCCTCCTGGAAAGAGGCACTCCTCCCCCCAGATCACGGCCCCGCCCTGGGGCGGCTACGAAGGGGTGAAAGGATGCCTGCCACCCCTCTCCCAACCCGGACGAGTGGGAAGTGCAGTCCCAGGGCCGGAGTGTCTGAGGGGTCTCCAAGGGCTTCCCTCTGCCCCCAGCCCCCAGTCTCTTCCAAGGGGGCCGACCCCAAGAGGGCGTCACAGTAAACCTGCATGGTGACCTGTGTCACCGTTGGCTTCTGGGAGCCCAGCCTGCCACAAGGGCTCTTTTCTGCTTGTGTCTCCCCCATGCTGCACCGTCTTCCCTCACCTGCTGTTACTTCTGCTGCAGAGACGGGCAGTGTTGGCTCAACAGAATAATCTTATCAGCTGAACCCAAAAGATGTATTCCTGATGCCTTCCCAGCAGTGGGGTTTCCTCCCCACTTGCTGGTCATTTAGGAGGTGGTTACTAACAAGTAACCATGGAGGCCATGTCTGTGACAGATTCCTTAAACAAGGATGCTGATGGATGGTGGAATTGAAGGTACCACCACCGCATGGCAGCCCCCCGCCACCCCGATGTTCTGGACGGCAGTAACAGAGCTGTTCCGAGCTTTACAGGAACCCTGCACCTGGCCAGACTGTGAAACAGGAGGAAATTTCATCCTGGATACCTTCCCTAAATCACTGTCCTTGCCGGAACAGACAGCCCAGAACAGACCCTCGGCTGCGTAAATGATTCACATGCAATTACAAGGAGCATCACCAGAGGGCAAGAATTACCCCCTGAGATGCCGGGGCAGCTGGCCGGTCTTCAGAACATCGTTTCCCCTTGGGACTCCCATGATTAAATGAATTCCGGATGTGCCGAAAGCCCAGAGGGAGGGAGAGGGAGGCACGGAAGGAAATCAACCAGAAGCAAAGAGAAAATCCGGCAGGTGTACAGTTAACTCTTGAGGTAGAGACAGACCTAAGCGCACAAGCAACGTATGAAACCACAAAGGCAAAAGCAAAAACTCCAGTGAAATCGATGCACGCCACGAAAAAGGCAGCAACGGCCGAGGAAATATATTCAAATGTGACAAAAGGTTTAGATCCTGAGAAGATGAGAAAATGCGGGGATGGGGGAGAATGTTCAGGACTCAGAGGCCGCTGTCCACCCATCACGTGGATTTTGGATGCGTCCACCACGCAGCTCTCGGGTCCAAGGACCTCGGGGTATCATCACATGGCTCGCAGTACCCCAAAGACTGTCAAGACAGAGCAGGTGGGAACCTCGTTGTATTAAGGGGGCGGAGGCACTGAAAAGGCCCGGGGCAGGTGAAACATTGCAGAGGTGGCCTCTCCGAAGTGGGTTCATGGTTTTTGTCTGCTTTTTCTGACTTCTCTAAGCTTTCCACTTTGTTCTACGGTGAGAATAGTATGCATTTATTGTATTCTTTTTTGTTTTCAAGTCACTATACCAGCCTAAAAACTTGGATGTCTCCTTTCCTTTATAAACCCCAAAGCCCCCGTGTCTAGGCTGGGGGATGGAACTTTCTATCTACCCTACATCCCGACCAGGGGCCCACACTGCTGGGCCTCTGACCCCTGCACGGGTCCATCTGCAGGCCCTTCAGGAAGGGCAAGAAGTGGCTGGGGGCTGGCGAGGCCACGGGGTCTCCCTGCAAAGAGCATCTCCGTGCAGCTAACGGCCTTGGCCTCTGGCATCCACGTTACTGCTCACGCTAAAGCCCATCTCCCAGACACAGGGTGTGACTGTACACTCTGCGGAACCAGAGCCGACCGCCACCAGGTCTTTCTGAAGAGAAAAGTATGTTTCCCCTCTCAGTCCTTTTGCACATCCTCATTCACTGCGGCTTTAGGCGCCGGGCCGCTCAGCACTTGGGGCAAGGGCCTAGGGAGCCACTGGGCTTTTCTCTTGTCTACTCCAGCAGGCTCCTGGGTACAGAGCTTCTGTTTACAGCCCAACGGCCCTGAAGCTGAGCTCTATTCCCTCAAATGGACCCTGGCAGGTTCCTGGATGGGCCATGGGCAGGTACAAGTGCACACCTGGAGCGCTCTACCCGCTCGGTGTTCACAACTCTGGCCGTGAACAGTCATGCCGATGAGGTCCAGGGTGGGGGGGATTAGGTGAACAGGACCAGCTGGCCCCTTTCCACCTCCCCAGCTCCAGGTTCTACCTCTCTGGAAGCCCCAGTCTTCTGCACAAAGACCAGCTTTCCTGACAGGAGAGGGGTGTGGTCCTTCACCCAAAGAGGGAGCCGCCAGTCACCAGGGGGCCCATCAGTCCCCATGGCCCCCAAAAGGAAACACGGGACTTAGTGTATGTGGACCAAGTTAGCCCAAAGCTCTGGAGTGTAGAACATGCCTAATTCCCTGATTTTCTCGTTTGTTTCCAGACACATCAGTGCTTTTATTAGCCGAAGTTTGGGGGAAATCTCCGAGAACCAAAGAGCTGTAAAAAGCAGTGCTGAGAAGACTCTGTTGTCTTCCAGAGACTCCAAGCATGAGTACGGTCCAGTGAGAGCAGCACTGAGGGCGCCCTCACGCATCACTTAGTAGCTGTTTTAGTCACAGCTTACAATCTCGGCTGACGATGTAGCTACAGAGTTAATCCTACCTGAGGAAGTCTGGAAACCTCCGTAGGTAAACTTAGAGGTTCAAGAAACGTAGACAGTAGACTCTATTCCAGCAAAGACAGAGATGACGGCCCTGTCTTCAATTCTCACCCCAGGACAGGCCCCAACAAGACACTCAGCCATTCTCTCCACTTGCCCTATGTCATGAATCAAATTATGCCCCCCAGCCCATGCCTATGTTGAAGCCCTAACCCCCAGACCCTCAGAATGTGACCATATTTGGAGAAAGGGTCTTTATAGAGGTAATCAAGTTATAATGGGGTCATTAGGGTGACTCTAAACCCAATATGACTGGTGTCTTTACAAAGGGGGAAATTTGGAGGCAGATACACGCACACAGGGAAAACTCCACGTGAAGGCAGGGGTCAGGGTGATGCTTCTACAAGCCAAGGGTTGCCAGCAAACCACCAGAAGCCGGAGAGAGGCCTGGGACAGCTTCTCTGGGACAGCTTCAGAAGGAACCAACCCCGCGGACACTCAGTCTTAGAGTTCCAGCCTCCAGAACTGTGAGACAATAAATTTCCGGTGTTTAAGCACCCCCGCTTGTGGTCCTTTGTTACAGCACCCTGGCAAACTAATACAACCTATCTGCAAAACGGGATTAGGAATTCTCACCATGCTGCCTGTCTTCAGAGCTGAAAGTGACAGATTCAAAAATGCTCTGTAACCCCGGATCCACCTGGACCGACAGCTTGGCCTGTGTTAACCCCATGAGAGCCGTCCGTGCTGCAGGACCAAGCCTCTCGGGGCAGGACCTACGTGGTCCTTTGATGTCACTGAACACCCACACCTGCGTGCTTTGTTCCTACAATCCCAGTATGCGCTCAGTGGCCCTATATCCACGCAGACACCCAACACAGCTCTTCAAAGCTGGAGGGGAAGCGTTTCCAGGGGGGTTTTGGGGAGACTGGAAAACCAGGAAGCTTTTTCCTTAGGTTTCCAACCGTCACGATGGAGACAGACGGATCCACCAGCCAAAGGATCCTTTATATCCCGCATCTGACAATAGCTAGACTAGGATCTCTCCGCAGCAGGGCTCGGTTCTCGCCCACCCCTGACCCACCACACCTGGAAACACCAAAGTAGCAGCGCTAAAGCACAAAGCAGAAGCCAAACCCAGCCCGACACACGTCTCTGCCCGTGAATGAGGAACAGTTTTCAACAGTTGGAGGAGAAAATCAAGACTATTTCATGACATAAAAACTATATGAAATTCAGGTCGCAGGGTCCAGAAATATAATTTTATTGAACACAGGCACACCCGTCGTTCCTTTACGGTTTGTCTGTGGTTCTTTTGCGTGTCAATGACCGAAATACTTACTGCCTGGCCTTTTACAGTAGAAGTGTGCCGACCCCTGCTCTACACCAGCCCTACACAGGCCACGGGGCAGAGGGCCAGGCCGGTGTAGGCTCAAGCCACAGAGAAGTGGGCAGCACCCGCGGCGGGTGCATAGCCGAATGGCCGAGGGCTGGCCAGGTAGCGGGTAGGATCTGAGACAGCAAAAGGGAAGGGAAGGCGAACAAAGGGAGGTGTGGCTCCAAACGGAAACAGGAATGGCCCAAAGGTAAAATCATCCACTGGAAACTGTTTACTGGAGCTGGCTCCAACCTCCAGTGAGGAGGGTTCCCGGGCCCCAGCCCTGAGCGCAGGTTAGCAGCATTGTAGCACTATGGGATGCTCAAGGCACATCGGGGTCCTGTGGCCTGGCCGTGGACTTCACCCTCGGTTTTTCATTGTTTATGGAAGAAACTACAAGGCCACCAACTGACAAAACTGAGAAAAATCACGCTTCTGCAGACTGACCTTTGTATTTAATGCTAACAAAATAAACACTAGTAAAACTGTTCACTGAAACAGTACTTAGGTACGTGGCGGGTGATGCAGCCAAGTGAAATCATGCCTGATCTATGGGGCAGAATCTTCTTACACAGAATACGGAACTGGTTCACCTACCTCTCCGAAAATTTCACAACATTTCAAATGGTATAGATGGTGCGGTAAGGAATACCCTTTCCTCTCTCGTGTATGAAACCAATATTGAATATGAAGCACAAAGGGGGTATTATTGAGACACACGTCAACCAGACGCCCACAGTGGTTTCACCCTGTACATCTGTGGGTTCCCACCTGGTGCCTGACATGGTATCAA